AAGAAGAATATATGCAGTGTATTATTTGTTGAAACTGTACTTTCGATTTGATTTGAAACTGTCTCATTGCTATATGTTTATCAATAAAACTTTGAAAAAAAAAAAAGAAAAAAAGATTTCAGTATGTTTTCAACTTTATGTAAATGGAACAATACACAATGTATTTTTTTGTGTGTTTTATTTCTTTGCTTAACGTTAAAGTCATGAGATTAATCCATGTTGTTTTGTGTGATATAGAACATACCAAGGAAAGAAAGATTAGAAAGATGTTCATACCTGAGAAGTTCCTTTTTATTGATCAAAGCTTTCATGTATTCTGATAGTTTCTTTTGCATTAATGCCAAACGTAGCCAGGCTCTTCCTCTGCCTACTGGTGTCCTAGAAAACACAGCAACCCAAAACGTAAGTGTAACAGCATAGTTAACAGAGGCAGGGCCACAGTGGAGCAGACTCACTTGCTCTGGCCAGTGATCTCCCAGTAAAATGAGCACAGTGAGGTGCTTTTCACAACCTCTTCCACACATCCTACTGCAAGGGATTCTTGTGGGTTATTGAGACTGAAGATTATATATGGGACAGATACCTTTGCAAAAATACCAATCACTGCATGTGACTATATTGTGAAGACACAACCTCTGGAGACCTGGAGGGAAAGAGGACTCCAGATTTGCACTGAAAAATGTCCCTAAATTTAGTGTATACTATGTTACTAGACAAATGCTACTGTAAACACAGATAATCTTTTTATCTGCTTAAAATTAAACTGATCTCATTTGGGAGTATGATCAGTAATCCCAAGTTATAGGTGGCAATTTTTTTTTTTTTTTTTTAATTTTTTTAGTACAGGGTCTACAGGGCCTCACTATACAGATTGGACCTATAGTGATCCTCCTGTTTTCAGCCTCCCAAATGCTGGGATTACTGACATGAATCACCATGCTCAGTCTCAATCTCCCATCTCAAGTGTTCCCTGGTGGCGGAGCCAGCATAGCATGGCATGCCTGGGATTGAATCCTGGTCCTGCATCTGCCTAAGCAGGTGCTTTAATCTGCTCAGCTATCTGGCTGACCCTGGTGGTAGTTCTTAAGGTTAATTTGATATCTGTTTTAATACTGACTTGTGAACTCCACTGAATCGTCTTTTGTTTTGAGACGGGATCTTGCTATGTAGTCTAGCCTGGTCCTGAATTCATTATGTGGCCTTGGCTGGCCTCCAACTTGCTAGGGATTGTATGTGTACACCAATAAGCCCTGCTCAATATGGTTTTTTTTTTTACTATGTTAGATCAACCATGCCACCTTCCTAGACTGAATTTGAGGCTAATTCTCACAGGTGCTTTAAGAAAAAAGAAATAAGAAATGTTTGGTATCTTAAGATGAAGACAATTCTCTTGGATGAATATCTTTCAAGGGTACACTTCTCTTAAAACTCTACATACCACTTCTCTCATAACTGTTTACTCATAAAAAAATAACTGTTTACTCGTAATAACAGTATACCTTTTAGGCTGCTATAAAATGATTATGGACATTGTCACCTCTACTATCGTCTTTCAAGGAGACAATAAGAATGTTGCTTTTAAGAAAGAGAATTTATCCTTAGACTTACTTCAGTCCTGGAAGATCTTTAACACTTGCTGTTATCTCTGCAGCCTCTGGAACAAGTTTTTCTACCAGTTCTAAAGGCCCCCAGAAAGATTTATTTTGTCCAAGGAAAGTTTTCTTTGCTAAAACAAAAACAAAGCATCATATTTTT